GGGGGGGCGGAGGTGAGCTCCGCCTCGGCCCCTGCCTTCCCCCCTCATCCCTCCGAATTAATGTCGGGGCCCGGAGCTGGTGGCTTTGGTGTGTGCAGTGACTGCAATAAGCAGTGACAGCCATCATCAAGGTAAAGCACGGGGTGTTTGTGAAACTGGAGGCAAACTCTGTCATAAACCCCAAAGCAGTGGGGTTTCTCATGGGTTGGCGGCGGGTGTTCATCTCAAATGTTTCACATCGGGCTTTACCGTCAGCTCCTCGCAATACATATAAAAATTTAGCAACTGTTTCCACTTGGCCTCGTGTTTAACTGGCTGTCGTTTCCCTTCTGTATCTTTCAGTGGTATTTCTTCTGTGCAATTTTTATACCGTAAAAGATACCAAGCAGGGTTTACCTAACTGGTATCCTAGCACAGCATGATATCGACGTGTACTTTTGAAATGTCCTGTTTGCATTTGGATTACAAAGTTCTTATATAGATGTATTTTATCATTTTAATAAACACGATAAAATTTTATTTTGCAGTCACTGCATGTAATAGAACACAGTCCTCCTTTTTTTTCGCAGCCCCAGTGGGTACTTCTAGATGATCTACATTTATATTGTTATTTTCCTGCCAGAGGATCTCAAATCATTTTACAGACTTCACTTAATACTAATGTGTAGCCACATCATGAGTGGGACATTGCAGCACAGAAACTTTAGGTCATAGCAAGTTTAGCTTGAACTCACTTAAGCTTTTTTTCATTGGGAATGGGGTTTTTTCCCAAAAAAAAGTAATGCCCTACTATCATGATAATGCATTTTAGTAATCACACATCCTAGATGTAAATCTCTCAATTTTTAGAAAATACTGGCATGCATCCTCTTCAAACACGCAGAGTCCTCTGCCAGCTTTATAAGCACCTAGCCCATGTAGTACCAAATTTTTAGGAGCCCTCAGCCTTTGTCTAACTGCAGCTGATAATCTCAGCAACAGAGCACTCCTTTCTGCTAGTAAGAGCACACTAAAAGATTCAGCTTTTGTTTTGCTTAAAAGAAGGCATCGGGACATATGACATAAATTGATGTTATCTTGCCATTTTAATGATCTGACACAAACTGAAAATCCTGAGCTTGCTTGAGACAGCGTGGCATTGCGCAAGTGGCCGAAAGTAGAGTCAGCTTCCTTACGGGAGGGTAATACAGCAGACATGAAGAAATTTTTGAAAATGCTGAGAAAATATTTGGAACAATAAAAGGCTGAAAATGTAGCTTTATAACATGTATCAGTGCCTGCAGCTAATAAAAGTGAGCAGTTTATTTTATAACACCTGAACAATATTTTTAGTCATAACATCTCATCTCAAAAGGATCTTTAAATTCAAAGTGAAATTGCTTCACAGGCTGACCTAGCCACTAGTATTTAATTAGCTTCTGGATGATTATTCTTTTTTAATGTTTGTGTTCATGATTAAAGTCATGCTGTTTGTATGCTCTGATTCTGCAGAAAATAGCTGTCAGCTGGTGAACAAAGGGCAGATAATACTTGTTGAGTGTGGAAATTTTTTCACTCTTCTCAGAAACTGCTCCGAGTCATAGCAGCTTCATCTTCACAGTTCTGAAAAAATCCAAAATTGTGTCTTCCTGCTAGGATGTGGTTTTACATCTTCAACCTCATTTTTTTTCTATACAGCATAATCAATGTCTTACTGGACATGTCAGAGCAGATTGGACCTGTGTGGTGCTCACAGCACACAGCACCACTTCGAAAGAGGAGAGTTTTTTGTCTCGGTTTCTCTCTTCTCCAAACCCATGAGAAGATTGGGCTCTGGAGGCCCTCAACAACATAAATCACAGGCATTGTCTGGAGTCTGCAATTTGATGAAATAGTCTGTACTTTTAAACAAAAGCTACCATGGAAATTCTGTTGTTTAAGAGCTTGATCACTTAGAAAAATCCATGTGTAAGGTTGGGCAAATTACAAAAGGAAGTAAAATATGTTTTTGAATTTTTAAGACGTTTCTATGGCCAAGCAACACATTACCATAATTTGGTCTGGAGTGTTTCTTTTTTTTTTTTTTTGCCTTACAAAAATATATCCATCTTCTGAATATTTCATCTGGGCTTTTAACTGCTGTGCTGGAAAGAAAGAAAAAAAAAGGAGTGAGACCCATATCTCAACTCGGATAGGGGCATTTATCTCTCAAAACGGGGCCAGGGCAAAGGCTAAAGCTCAGAAGAGCAAGTTACCCCGCAGTTACGCAAACACAGAGCAGAGGATTGGTGCTCTCTGTTCCGTAGATAAGCAGTTTCTCAATTGTCTGATATTTTTGACAGATTTTTGCAAGTGTGTAGAATAAGGTTAAATAGCATTTAAATGAGAAGGGACACATTTTGTGTTTGTTTTGTCCGGATGTAAGTAACAAAGTATGTGAGGTACTAGAGGATGAGAAGACAAGCTTTAAAAAACCTCCTCTCAAATTTTAATGTGGAATTCAATCTGGAATGGGGCAGAGACATAGTAAGGTATGAATCTGCTAACACTTTTTCACCATATAAGTGTTTTTTATTTTCCTTCCTATATTCAGTCTTTTATAAGCCCAGCACAGAGAACCTCATGAAAATCAAAAAATGGCAAGGCCATCTTTCCTTCAAGCTCTGAAAAATGTGCAGTAATAAGATCACCTATTAGAAGCAGGTGATGTTTGAAGTCATATATCTAAACTTGCTGTAGGGAAGGCGTTTCAGCTTAAAAAAAAGAAAGAGGGACCTGGTCTTGGAAGACTTTGTGCTCTGCAGTCATCTGCTCTGATGCTAATTTTCTTTTGAGTTATTATCATTGATGTGCTTCTCATTCTACCTAGGCCCGGATGAGAGATGCAGCATGTAAAAAGGGTGGAAGAAAAGGAATGCAAAAACCTCATGTCTTGCATAAGCTGGCAGTTCTGACCCGCAGTTACCTTTCTCCAGTGCTGTTGGGCATTTGAGGATGTCTGCACTATATGGCACAAATATTTAAAGGAGCAGGAGATTGTCTCCAAAATTGTTTTTTGCTGGCCCAAACCTGTGTTACAATGTTTTGTTCACTGGGTGCAAAAATTTGCCTATTTTGATTTTGCTGATGATAGAAATGTTGGAGTAGGAAACAAAGTGGGTCTATTCTTTTTATGATGCATGGTAGTTTGTATTTCTACCCTTTTCAATGGATATTTTGCTCCAGTGGTGTGTTTAAAATAAAGTAAGTCGATCTTTTTGTAAACTTTTCATCAACTGATTGCATGAATTTCCCGTGTAGGTGATTGGCCATCCCAAGTACCAAGAATCCAGAAGAATTGCAATCTTTCTGAGCATGCCAGATGAAATCCAGACAGAAGAAATCATTAAGGACATTTTTAAGCAAGGCAAAGAGTGTTTCATCCCACGTTACAAGCCTCACAGCAATCACATGGACATGCTGAAGTTATCATCAGCTGAAGACATTTCTTCACTTACTTTGACATCCTGGAATATTCTTCAGCCTAGTGATGATGACAGTGTAAGAGAGGAGGCTCTTGCTGGTGGTGAGTATTTTCTTCCTACACTGTGGAGTTGGTGAGCAGGAGTAGCCTTGAGGCCAGTAGGAAATAATCTGATAGCGAGAGTGAAATGAAATGTTACACTTTGGTTTTATGTGTTGCAGAGGTGCTTAAGTCAATGTAAGCAGATGCTCCTTTCTCTTGCCTGTTTTTCTCTACCCTGTGCCACCCCCGTGATGTGCCGCCAGGGCAGGAACAAGACTGCACAGTTGATCCAGCTGAAGGAAACTCAGCCCTCCAGATAAATCAGCTTCTTGGTCCTGTTCATGGACATCCTCAATGCAGTCTTGGCAAGCATAACAGGCTCATGAAGGAGACAGGGGCTTGCCGGGAGTGGCTTGGGCTACCATGGAAAGTCACGGGGTATTAGCAGTTATAGGATGCACTCTGAGAACTTTAGTTTCCACTGCCTGAAAGGTAGGGAACTTTTCAGGTGATGCCTGTAAGGCTGACACAAGAATTTTCTGAAATCTTTGATCCTGCAAATTGTATTGCATGGATGAATCACAGTGCTGATAAGGAGTCTGCCCATGCAGAACAGCTCTCCAGACTGAGACCTTAGACTGAAAATAAAAGGACTTTCTTGTAGGCTTGGATGAATATTGCAAAGTCTTTTCCATCATTATTCCGTCATATTTTTATTTTGATCTTATAATGCCATCTCAGACACTGGATTCTTCATAGGGTTTAAAAGTTAAAAGTTCATTTGGATCTAGCTAGTGGCATGTGTGTTTTGGCCCCAAAATAACCTCTCTCTTTCTTAACCTAAAATTCCCCAACTTGTACAAATTTGTAAACAAACTTACTTTTTCTGTCTCTGCATTCATTATTTGCATTGTTTTTGTAAACACATTAATATCTTCCTGAAACATCTGCAGAAATGTTTAATGTTATTAATGGAAAACTCATGTTGAACTCATGCTTGAAACCTCAGTCTGGGAAAATTTTCTCTAGATGGAAATTCACCATGCAGCCAGCTTCCACACCTCACAGACTTACCGGCTTTTTAGTGCTCGACAAAGGAACATAACATTTATATGACTCTGTTCGGTTGAACTTGGGTTTGTGTTTGCTTTGGGATGCCAATGTACTTTCCAAGAACACTTCACTGTGTGTGTTTCTCTTCTACTGTCGATCTCTACCTCTTTCCTAATTCAGAATCCTTTCTGTGTCCACATTTTAGCTAGCAAGGGATTTCACTGCTTCATACAACCATCTTCTTTACATTTAATATTTAGCACTGTTACTTGTTTTCCTAATTTTTGTCAAAAATTTGTGTATATTGGTGGGATTCAGGGGCTTTTGAAGTTAACCCTTAAAATTCCCAGGGTTCTGTTGACTGAGCTTAGTTCAGGCACTCGGGACAAGCTTTTATATTACTGATGAGCTGCTGTTGATTGAATTTAACAAGTCTGCTGCAGAGATCACAGAGTAAACACACAACAGTTTTAGGTATGATGGGACCAAGGACTACCTGGTATAGAGTGCACTGGGATGTACCAGTTGGAGATGGCCCAGGTGCCAGGTGGTGAAGATGGAGGAAGGCAGGAGCAACCTTTGGTACCTGGCTAGTTCTAGAGCTGCTCTTTTGTTCTCTGCACCAGGGTATGGTTATGGGCAGAGAGCAATGCCAAGAGAGCTACTACAGTCTACAGAGAGATGCCAAGAGCTCTACGACCAGCGGTTCTAACAAGTGGTATATGTTCATGTCAGACTTCTCCAGCCTGAAGCTCGATTTCAGTCTGTTTGTACTCAGGAATAATTCGGTTTGGATTGGAAGTCAGACCTTGCTCCTTTATCCTTGGACAGTTTTTGTAGATTAGAGAGTAAGTTTAGGGTTTTTTCTGCATAATCAGACTTCCCCCCCCCCAGCAATTTGTCCCCACAGAAACACACACTGCACCTCAGCGTGTCTTTAAATTCCTTTTGCTATATTTTTTTGTGTCCGTTATTATATTTCTTGAACTTTGGTACATTTGTGGGAATGTAAATTGCCTTGCTACTACATCCATCCTCCATTGTTGGAATTATGCATGGATGAAGCATTTATCTCTGTGATGTTATCAAATACTGTGGTGATCTGAGGCATTTACATTGTTATAAGGAGATAACATGGTGTTATATCAGTAATGTTCCCATTGCTGGCGTAAGTTGCTATGTAATTTCCAAGAAATACCCTGCAGGTACATAAATAAGTCATGTCACTTCTGAGTGTATTCATTTTGCATGACAAGAAGCTTGAATTCACACTGTCCTTAAAATTTCAGGCATGGTTATTATGAAGAATAGCTCAAAGATAAGACTAGGTATAATTTTTGCATAGAGTTTCCCAGTCTTTGGTAGTACTCACAAGCTGTGTTGAATAGACATGAACCCCTCCTTTTGGAGACAGTCCTTTTTCTGTTGGAGCAGGGTTTACCCATTTTCATCTTGGCAGTACACCACATTACACCTTGTTGGCATAAACAAAGGTCACTGCAGTTTTAGTAGTAGCAAGTCTGTCATCTTCTCTACCGTGCACGGGTGACAGTAATTGTATTCTTTAGGCTAAATGGACAGAGTAACAGAAAGAACAAAGGTGGAAGAAGTTCAGATACTTAGTTTGGAGTAGGGGTGTATGTAGGTGCATGACTTGGTTCATTTCCAGCTATGCCTGCTGAAAGATTTAGACAACTTTTGGAGCAAGCCAGTGGTACATTTTCTTGATAGGTAGCAATTTCCATTGGTATCCTTGCCCATCAGAAGTATAAAGGTGCACCGGTATCGGGTTTTGCCCGAGGTAATACTTTTGGTGAAAGTTCAGGCAGGTTGCAGTAATTGTTTACAGGAATGTAGATACCTTGCATGACTTTGGAAGGAGTAAATCAGATAAAATCATGCTCCCTGTTTGCTTTTTATCACGACTCCTACAGAAATTTAAAGGACGCTTCCCCAGCAGCTCTAATTTCAATGTGGTTTAGGGAGGCGGTGTGATTCAGCGGGCTGGACATGGGTTTCCTCATTTGTAATGTTATTTATTATTACTTAAACCTGCTCTGAGAACTATGGGTGAAAAGCTAAGTTATTCCTCTGAAAAAGAGATTATTCTTACTGGGACTCAAAAAAATTGACTGGGTTGAGTATCTTCGTATGGTAACATTCTTGGAGGTGGCTTCTTTGAAAGGAGGCAGGAGGCCAACTTTGGACTGAGAGGTCTCAGCTGGAAGTCTTGGACCTGAGCAAATATTATGCTTAAATGTTCATAACTGACCTGAACTACTGACTAGTAGTTGAAGGTGTACAATAAATTATGGACAACTTTTAAAACATTCACCTGGGTGATGGGGAGAGGGGTTTTGGCCTAGATTTTTTTCTTTGGCCAGAGAATGAAGAGTTATTAGAAATTGTGGCTCTGAATCTGCTTACTCTAATGGGTTGTGTGGTGCTCTCCTACAAAATGCAAGAAATGGGATTATGTGTACAAACTTAATTCAGCCACTTTATCTGTGTCAATTCTGCCCCGGTCTTTAAGTGCATAATTACATTGTCCTTGCCTGTTGGATCTGGGTTCATTCAAAGATGAACCCAGATGCAATGATCTGGGCTCTTTCAAAGATGCAAAAGATGAACACTGCTTGCTGTTAATGAACGCCGCTAACGAGTATGCACTCAGTCATTTGTTTTCTCCCTGCTGTTCCAAGTTAGACCTGCAGGCCTTTTTTACTCTGCATTATTCAAACCTTGGTGTGGAGACAGAGGTCTTAATTTCTGTATGGGCTCTTCATCGCTACAACGTTCAATGACTTAAAGATATTAACTGGTATTTGCTGGTGGAGGAGCAGCAGAGGCTCCTGGTTCCAGGCAGGGCTGTTCAGAGGAGCTGCCCCCAGTGCACACGGACTCTTTTGCTTGCTTTTCCAAACGTGACGGCATCTTCACTGTTCCCTCCAAAATGATCATTTCCCAAGCTTGTCTTGTCCTTGGGCTAGACCCCCTTTCCAAGCTTTAATTTCTCTGCCAGCATAATGCCCCTCTCCATCCTTCTGCTCTTTGCCCAACTTACCTGAATCTCCCTCTCCAAGTGTCCTTCTCTGGCCCTTCTGACCATATTCCCCACTTCCTCCCGCTCTCAGTCCTAGCCTGTCATTTCTGGGGCAGCTGGGCCAACATAAATAGCTTGCCACTGCCAAAAGGGAGGAGATCATGTGCTTTGTCTTCTTTCACTTGTCCACTTTCAGATACAGAAGATTCCCTGTCCCAATTTACTCATTTCCTTCCCCAGTGTGCTGACTTCTTTCTCTTCTTCTTTGGCTTAGAAAAACTCCATCTCTGTTAAATAGTACTTTTTGTACTAAACAGTACAGAAGACATAGTTTTGTGATTGTTTCTTTTGGGCAGTGCCTGCTTAAATAAGCTGCTGCCCTCTCTCCTCCTCTTTGTCCCCACCCCTCCTCTCCTGTGCCAGCACAGATGCCCCGGTAGCCACGTTGGGAGCTATACTGGGAAACCAGTCTTGGTTAGAAGTAACCCAGCACCAATAAAAGGCTCTTCTTCTCTCAGACAGGGCCAACACACAGGTTTGGACTGATGCAACTGAAGGGCTGGTAGGAAGCTGGTGATGAGGGATTGCATAAACGGGTGGCATGCCAAAAAAAATCTTAGTGAAACTTCAGTCCTCATTTCCTTCCATGTTTCAGTTCCCAGTCTTTCCCCAGCCAGCGGAACTATGAGCAGCCACTGAAATGAAAGTCCTTCCGAGTCCTCGTGGTTGGGAGCAGGGCCGGCAGTAGGAGCTGAGCCTGCAGCTCCGTGTGCGCCATCTTTGCAGCAATACTGGCTTAAGGAGTTTTCCCTCCTCATGTTTTCAGCATATTCCTGCCCCTCCATAGTAAACTGGATCAGCAAGCTGCTCTGGATGAAGGGTGTTTTCCTCCTTTCCTCCACCCTGTCTTGGCTGGGATTTTTTTAACCCAGATGAGTGGATCCAGTTTACCGTGCGGCCGTAT